GCAGTGAACAGGAAAGGAAATGCTTGGGGTTTGTGGAAAAAGGGCAGGAGTGGCTGGTGCTTTCTTGTGAGGGTTTGGGGAATGGGTTCAGCCCCTGATGGGAAATGGGACAGAGGGAATGGATTTGGCACTGGAGAAGCTCAGAAAACACAAAATGCAGGTATTAAGGGTGAGGGAGATTGTGGGGAGAGAGTGGGCAGATAGGTGTGGTGGGGGTCTGTCTRCAAGGTACTGTGGTGCTGATTCAGTGTTTGGAGTGACCACAGAAAAAATCACAGGGCTTCCTGCAGGAAAATTAGGGTAAAAATATGAGTGAATGTTCATGCACAGCTTTTGTAATTTTCTGATAAATTGCTGTAAATCACCCCAAAGCAATGTTAAAGTAAGAAAAGATTAGATGGCTGTATCTTCTCCGGAATTTTACACATACCTTTAATAAGAATATTTTAGCAGAATTGTGTGCATATCAGAATTTCAGCTAATTTGTGTAATGGTGACAGTGTTTTCTTCTCCGTGTAATGCACACACACTCATTAAATCAGTCTTGATTTTGCTATGCAGGAAGCTAAAGCAAAATGCCAGCAGTTTGTTCCTGAAATATTCTTTTACTGTATTCAGGAATGGCAAGTAGGTTATGCTTCTCTTTCCTGTTCTGGTATGAGGCTGTCTCCTCACAGCTGGAAGGCCATTCTCTTCTCAGCTTGTGATCAAGCATCATCAAAATGGAGAAAATTTCAGGGAATTGGGAATGAACAAATAACCARTTTGTCTCTGTTTTGACTTACAGTGTTTTGTTCCAGCATTTCTCCATTTTCTCAGTGTTTTTCTCATCTCGTTTTTGTCTCTCATTTTCTTCTATGTTTGGGTTTGTGTTTTTTGATATTCCAAATTTCCTGGCTAGAGGCTGTCAGACTGCTCTCTTTGGCAAAAGGGAAAAGGACTGGGCAATGCAGTGTGTGATACCAGTGCCTGGGCCGTTAGGGCCTGTTAGTGCCCATGGGACACTGACACAAAGTTCTGCAGTGAGAGGGAGGCAGGGACAGGGAGCAGGAACCAAGAAAATGGATGGAAAGGTCATTTCCCTCAWATGTGCCTAGTGCCAGTCTTCACTTGGGCCCTCTGTTGGTGAATCTCTGTTGGTGCCCGTGGTGTGAGCAGCCACCTGGGCACAGGTTCACTGCACGGGGATCTGGTGTGTCAGGTTTCACTGGAACTGTTGTCATTCCAAATAATGGTTACACGAATGACAATAGCAATAAGATACAACAGCACTCTGGAGCTCTTGCTATGGATCAGAATTATATTGTGCTAGGCACAACAAAACCCTTTCCATCACCACTGGAGAGTGGGGTGAATAAAATCAAAAAAGCATRGGAATAGAATTAGAAAATAAAGGACCGTCTCTTTCTCTATTATTTGGATTTACAAATAAATTTTAAAATGATTGTCAGGGGTCAAATCTGGCAAAATGCAGTTGAGAATCTCTGGGCAAAACTGTATTTTGAGGAGAAATTACATAGAGTAAGGACCTTGTCTCTTAGATGGCTCAGCCCCACAAGCCTGAGTGTACTTTTGATCTGGCTATGGCAAAGCAGAAGATTTTCAACAGACAACAAGAAGAGAGGATTTTGGATGACAGCAGCAAAGAAACACAAAGGGATGGTTAATTGTGTGACCCACAGGGAGCACTGGAAGACATTAATGGGTATAAAGAGGCCATATTTCCATAAATGACCATTAGTCTTCTGCAAATGTTCCTTGAAATGTAAAGGAATGATTTTCTCTCTCCAATTAATCATCCTAGAAATCCTCCTTCGTGTAATCTTGAAAACACGGGAGAGGACTTAGTATCAGTAAATGTTGCCAGATGTACAAAATGGCAGAGKAATGTGTTGTATAAAATGATTTTGGGTGGCAGAAACTGGATAAGAAGCCAAGAATACTGCACCAACATTTGAGCTTTTCTGCGAGAGGCGTTGCCAGCCTCGGGAGGGAGCACTGGATAATTTATAGGTTAACATTTTCTTTTTATGTGAATAGCATTTTTTCTCATTTATAGTTAATTAGGTTAAGCATGCATGGGGAGTGAGGGAGGAAAGACTTTCAGAGAGAATCGAAATGATTAGTAATTTGAATGAAGTAAAAGAATCTGCTAAAGGATGTAGCTCTGGAATTAAATATGTTGCTATAACAAGTGTAAGTATCAGATAGGAATTTTAAACATTCTTACATTAATTATAGCAGCAGCATAAAAAGAGGTAGAGCATATTTACAGATTTGGCACATGGGTTCTTTTCCCAAGTAGCTGCTGTTTCATTTAACTAGAGGAGGAGAAACTATTTGTCCCACCATTTCACAGGTTCATATCTTTTGCACAGATTTCTCRTCTCAGGGGTTTTGGTTCACATACAGGATCAGTTAAGGTGAATTACAAAGTAAAATGAATATTCCCTTAACCACTGAGTTTCTTCAAATCTTTTTTCCTGTGTAAAATCCTCTTGACACTTTCTGGTTGAATGAATATTTTTTTTGGCAGATTCTGTGTCCATCTCTACTCAGGGATCGGAACGGTTTCACATAGACCCCTCTAAAAATTTTAGATCATATCTAGTCCAGGACAGAYTTTTATGCAGACACTCAAATGGCTCAGGATATTAAAATCACCTGATCTGCAGTTTGTTTACTGGTTACACAGTGGGCTGGCATCTCCCACCACAAGGGTGGTGCCACTCTCCTTTGCAGTGCTGCATCACAGGTTYTGTCCCATCCTGATGTCCCATTTCCCTGGCAAAACTGGCTGGTTTCCTCCCCAAGCCTGGCTTTTCACTCTGCCTCTGTTGAGTGATTTAGAGACAGGGTAACTTGTTCCTGGATATCTATGATGAGACAGAATCTAAAATAAGGAAGACACTTTAGGAAAAATTTGTTAAAATTAATTTTCACCTRGAATGCCTTCCACTGTATAATTTTTGAAAATGCTCAGAACAGCTTTTAACTAATTTTTAGTTCTCTTAAATGTTTGGTGGAGTTTTTAAATGTAAGCATTTAAGTTCAAATTTAAGCACTTTTRTCCAAGGGATCTGATGTACAAGTTCTCCCAGCTGAAGTGTGTGCAGTACTTCTGAAGACCAGGCAGGACTTTGAGTTAGATGCTAAATATAGATTTAACAGTTTATCCCTTGACACTCAAATAATTCAAAGGTGAATGATTTATGATTTCAAGAAATGGGTGATTATTTATACTGGAAAACACAGCCATTTTTATTGCAGTTCCACATGGAGAGTTATTCAAAGTTGTTTATATTTGTGCTGTGCCCATRAATGCCAGTTTCTTTTTCTAGAAAAGGATCTTTAAAATATCCTAAAGGAATTGAATGCTGAGCCCCAGTGAAATCACTGCTCAGGGAGAGATAAGCACTGAATTCCCTAATTTTAAAATATCCTAGTGTTTACTGGCTTACCTCCAGCTGACAGAACATTTTAGAAGCAATTTTGGGCTCTTCCAACATGACAAGTGTGGTGCAGTGAGTTCAGATGCCCTGCCTTGGGTGACCCAGGGAAGCAGAAGCAGGTGCAGTAGAACAGAGGGGCACCTGACTCAGAGCCCATTCACCTCCTGAAGCACAGGCCTTCTCWCACAAGCCAAGGGGATTCTTTCACATGTGCAAGGAGAAATATCAGTGACAACAGTTTAGCTCATAGTAGSTTTGGATAAACAGGTTTTGGCCAAGCAGCCAACGCTGAGGAGCAGAGCCCTCAGTTTGGTTCCTGGCTAGCTGCATCTGTGCCTCTGGTGGCTMCTGGCAAATCCTTCACCTCATCAGCCTGAAAAGGTGGGCAGAAATGACTTACAGAGTGGCTGTGAGAATTAGCTGATTAACACTGTGCAAAAAAGCTGCTCTGCCCTTAGTGGAAGAGCCTTAGATGTGTGCTCTCTCCAGCCTCCTGCAGTGTGGGATTGAATTGCACAAGGGCCCATCTGTTGCTGCTGAAGTTATTGGGAGGTATTTTGATCCACTCTTTAGCCCCAATACCTGCCCAGGCAGCCCCATGGGCTGTAGCTGACTGAAAGTGGTGCAGCAGGACGTGACTTCAGACGTTTTGAGCATCAAGCAACTCCCACAGGGCAGCCCAGAGAAAGGGCTGTGCTGAWMWCTGCTGCCTGTGGAGCAGCACCAGATCTGAAGGGCATGAACTCTGCCACACCGGATTGCTGCTTCCCTAAAGCATGTCCATAGCTCTCCATGAGGAGATTCCAGCACACTGAGAGTGTTAACAGGACTTGTCCCTCTGACACTTGTTGGTTCCCATACAAGGCAGGAATGGTCACAGCAGAAGTATCCTGGTGAGGAACCACAAGACTCTTTATTTCCTGACATCYCTTCTGAGCAGAGAGTCAGGCCAGTTCACAGGGGGACAACTCTGGGATTAGGCAGGTGGACTTGGCAGCTGCTGCTATATTTGTCCCAGCATCAGCAAATGACTCCTCTCTTCCTCTGAGAGAAGAAGGAAGAGTATTCGGCATGTTTTATCACTGGTACAAATGGCRATATCCAAGGAGAGGGATCAAGAAGGAATAAGAAGGATTGGTGTGGCATCTCTTCCAGTCCTGGATCACACCACTGGCAGGTGAAATGCTTCTCCTTGGATGAGTTTGTTTTCCCATCTTTGGGAAGGATTCTTTCCCTTGCACCTGGGTTTTGTCTCTTTTTTACTGTTACACCTGATCATCAGGGCAGTGAGAGGTGCTGGGTGCACTAACAGTGCCTGGATAACTGCGTTGATCTGAATGGCTTTTGCTGTTTCCTTTTGGTGTCTATCCTGGAGCCTGTGCCAGTGGATGTTAAAGGCTTGGCTCATAGTAACATTCTTTTGAAAAATAATGGTTTCACTGGAAGAAGTTGCCAGTACATTAAAAATGTAAGAAGGACAGCATTTTTCACGCAAACACTTGCTGTCAATATGGATAATGAGCTATGTGCTGCTGGTTTCCTTCTTAGGGTGGGAGACAAAGGAGAACTGGACTTCGTGCTGAATGGATGGTTGTGAGAAGCTGGTACTATTCAGTGATTCATGAGCAGCTTGCAGACATCAGGAGTAAAGGTTCGTTACATCTCTAATTTTTTTGTTCCTTTGGGCAGGTGGCCTAACAGCCCAACAGCTGATCCTACGTTTTAAATTTAATTTTAATTGAATGCACTGCTAGAGATGCCTTAAATTGACTCTTTTTGTTTGAATTTCCTAAGGGAGTTTGCCCCAAGACCTCTATCCTGGTGATAACTTATTCTGGCCAATRGAGCCAGTGTGTATTTATTGTATAGCTCTTCGTCCCCTCTCTGGCTTCTGCTCCCATGAACACTGTGCAGTTGCTGATGACTAGAAAATTACTCAAGTGTGAACTGTTTCACTGTCTGTCACTTTGCTCATTAGGCTAGTGAGAAAATGTATCTACGGCTCTGTCACACACAGCCCTCATTAGGTTAGCAGCACATTGAGATCATTGCCTTTTTTAAAGATGGCTGCAGGAAAATGGCTGGGTAGTTTGATGCTCCTCAGTAATAAGTGGAAGTAGCAAAACTAGGGCTTACTGCATTCCCCTCTGAGATAATTGCATTGTTTGCAGAGCCTGATCAATGGAATGAAGTGATACTGCTGGGGAAGGCGGCGTAATCCCACTTCTTACTCTTGAGTGAAAGGGCAGAAGGTGATCACAGTAATTCAGTGTGCCAAAGAGATTTAGGACAAGGACACTCTCCATTTTTGCATCTGCTTCTCGTTGTGCCTGTTAAATGGGAGGAGCTGTACTGAAGGTGGTGTGCTGTCATKTGGATCAGTATCCCCAGAATTTAGGTCTGTCAGCTGTAGCTCAAGCTGGCAATGAAGGCTACCAGGAGGTTTCTAGTTCCTACCTCCAGCAATTAGCCAAAGTAGCACTAATCAGTATAGATCCATTCCTAGTGAGCTACATTTAAACACCCTCACTGCCAAATGTTTGTGCCAAGCTTCTGCTAGAAAAGATATGCTAARTGACCACATGCCTTCTCTCCAGTTAGTGCTTTCTTTCCAGTTTACTTTTTTTCTCAAGCAAAGAGTGCCACTGACTTCCACACTGGCGGTTCCCTTGAAACTGATCCACTAACTGTTGTATGCTCTGGAAAGACAGGGAGCTATTTACTCCAGCCACCAGAGCAGAACATCATCCTACTCACAGTAGGACCACAGTGTTGGATGGAACCATTGATGGGAACTGCTGCTTGCTTTGCTGGGAAGGGTGATCCTCAAAGCTGCAGCACAGCCTTTTCTGCTGTGGCTTTGGAGTGGACGTGGTCTGGTTCATGTCCTTACTAAATGTCAGCATTGGAAGGTGAAGGTTTCATGTCACTACAATTGCTCAGAAAGGTAATTTTTCATGAGAAATTTCTTCTATGCTTTCATGGTAAAGATTTTCTACTACAGATTTGCTTTTGTGTGGTGATCCCAAAGACCTGAAAGGCGGTTTACACAYAAACTTTTACATCAACTGAATTTTTATACAAGTGTGTGGGGCAGTGTCTGGTCACCCCACCGGACCTGCAGTGCTGATGATCCATCTCTGTTCCACCACGGGAATGTTCATTTATTAGCCTTGGTGCAGAGGATCTATGATGTTCTGTAGTTGATTAGGTTCATAGCAGATACGTATCCCCTAGGGATAAGATGATGAAAAAACTTAAGGGCTTTATGCTTATTTAAAGTTGATATCCAACTCCAAGTTAAATTGGATATCAAGTACTTGACTTGCTCTGCATATATTCKCTTCAATTCCATATACATAGGATTCTTCTCATTATCTGCATTTACAAATTCAAAGGCAATTAGCCCTGAAATAGCTAGAAATGTAGAGAAAGGAATGTTTCAATTTTTATTTCCCATAAAGTTCACATTTTCTTTTTCATTTAAGTGGAAGTTTAATTTCTTTTGAAGCACGTAAGACAAATGTAAAAAAAATAAAGTCCCTCATGGGATGGGAGGTTGMAAAGGACCATTATAATGAAATAGAATATTTGCTTCCTAGGCCGGTGATTCAAATACTCTTTGAAAGGCTGAGTCTATATCCACATGTTGGGACTATTGATGCCAGGATGGCTGGGCTCTGGTGTTTTGGTTCTCCTGGCAGCTGAAGCTCAGCTGGGAGCAATGCTGGGTGTTTCTAGAGGCCAACTTGGATTGTGTGCTCGGTACCAGCCTGCAATGTCACCACAGAGCACAGACAAACCTGCAGCACCTCACCATCTGCTGTGTCCCGCCCGTTCCTGCCATGGGCTGGCATTCAGCTGGCTTTACAGTCCCAGTAGCTTTACAGCTCCAGTAGGAGCTCAAACTTTTATCCAAGCCAAGCTTTGGATCTACCTGTGTTCACTCAGATGCTGAGTGGCTGTTAGGCTACATGGGAGTGGAAGAAAGGCCTCAAATTCTCATTTAAGACATAATCCTGGTGTATCCCATGTGAAAWGGGCCATTCCAGTTCCAAAGGAATTGGTGTCCCCATACTAAGAATGAGCAGACTGAGAAACTTGGCTCTCATAAACCCAAGCACCGAGCARCCATAGGATAGGAGCCAATATTGTGGATTTTACTCCTTCATGTCAGAGTCGACCCAGCCTGTGAACAGAAAGCCTGAGCTGTGTCTGCAGTGCCTGGGCAGGAGGGCAGCTCTGGGGAATGTCTCCAGCTCTGCCTTCACTGCATTCCTGCAGACCACGCTGTCCATCCCTGCACCACGCAGAGCTTGTCCCACATGGCCACTGGGAATAACAGGTTCACACTCTGTGTCGATTTTGTAATTGTCTTCAGTTTTGTATTACTATTTAAGTTTCCTTCTCACACATAACTTGTCTTCAGAACACACCAGCATTTCATGAAAGTAATTAATTTACAGCAATATTACTTAGTTCATCCAGCTGGCTGGTTGTGCCTTATTAGTGCCTAGGAACAAGACTGKTTTTTTTCTTCTTTCTGACAGGGATTCTTGGAGCCTCAATGAGCAATTAGTTTAAAAAAGCTGTCCTTGGGAGACAGAATTACTACTAAAAAGGACCAAGCCCTAACTTGAAAATCTTCAAGATGTCTGAAGGTTTTTTATTCTTTTTTTTCAATAAAGGATACATTATTAACTAACAATCTTCCCCAAAATACGTATSACCTACTAAAAAGTAATAACTTTTTGAAAGTTTACAAGTTGGTTTTAAGAATTTTCAYTTAAAGCAAAAATATAGCATCATATTTCAAGAGGTGAATGAGTGTCCTGCTGAACAGATGATGCTTCAAGTATTGTTTAGGGTTTTTTTGGTTTTTTTTTGTCAGTTGGGTTACATTTTGTAGAATGACATTTTCATAAAGAAATTTCCCCTAAACAAAATTACTGCTGGAGTCGAYTTTCAAAGGATTGTTGGTGGCATCAGTTTCTTCTTTTTATTGGAGCTGGTGGGAGCCAAGAGTAGACTGTAGACTTTTAAGCATCTCTAAACGATGCAATATCTGCTTCACTAGGAAAATAAATAACCAACAGCAATACATGAAGACATTATATGTAACATGGCCTGAACTAGTACCTCACTAATGTGTACATAACCTGCTTTATAAAACCGTATCTTATCCAGGCTAAGCACTTAATTATTATTGATTAGTTCTGCCCACTCTTCCAATATCAGTCGTTATTGAAATAATCTCCGTATCCCTCATTAAACATGCATCTGTTTCCATGGGAATGCATTTTTAAATAAGAAGTGCTATTTGAATATTATTGGTTTCACTGGTTGTKCAGGCACTTGGTACTGTGGTTGCCCAATCTGTCATAGTTAATCAACTCTCATCTCTTAACACTGGCTGCAGTTATCAATGAGTTGAGGATTAATATTCTGGGCGAAGCAGATGATAAATCATTTGTATATAATTAGTGTACAGCAAGGTTACAGCTGACATGAATTTTTATCTTAATTATGAGAGAAATTTGTTCCATTAATTTAATTTAGTTTGCATGAGTGGCTAGACACCTAACAAAGTTAATCTTACACCTGTCATTACAACATTAAGGAGAGGCTCATTTTCAAGCTGTAGACACAGAAACTCTGGTATATAAGGATAATGTTGCTCATTCTGATGTGAAAATAGATGATCGTAGACAGAAGATACAGAACCTACTCTCTTTAAAGACTTCCCARAGGATTTATGTGTGAATATTACAGAGATTCAAATCTGGTTGCTGCTGTACCGAGTAGACTAATTTTCCTTCATTCTCCTTCTGCACTTCTTCACGAGAGAAGCATGCAGTACCTACAAACAAAGGCACAGATTTTCCCCTTATTTTCATGGATGTGCGTTTTAATTACTTTAACTACATACATATAGTTAACTTGTTGACAATGCCATAGCACTTGTATGACATAATATCTGCATTAATAGCTATGGTTGAGGAAATTGTGCTGCCTGCAATCCAGCCTTCATATTTATGTGAAAAAGAATTATTCATAACTTCATCTACTACACAAATGGCAATTATGCAGGCATTTCTGAGGTTTCAGCAYACTGAATAAACCTAAATTCTGTTTTAATTATCCAAGCAATTATCAAGTCTGATAAATCATACATGATTGATAGATAAGGTGGGGCTGTTTGGGTAACAGGATATGGTGTTAGTTATTTTGCTGATAATTAACCAAGCACCTAAATGAAAGAAGACKATTTGTGGCATCTCTTATAAAAATGTTTATCTTTATAGATTTGTTGATTATRGTTATTTTATTCTGGTAGGATGACATGGAAAAAGAAAAGCCAATACCCAAGTCTTTTTACAGCTAATGAGATGAGACTGAATACAGTGGAGACAGAAATATAACTGAAAATTGCATTCTGCACTAGCTCAAGTCCAAATACATATTTGTAATACAAGCCACAGTCTCCTTCACATTTGCAGCATAAAAATAACCCTCAAAGAAACATTAATTGAACAGTAACTCAGATTAATGTTTTGTAATATTAGTTCACAATTATTACTCGCAGCTAAGGTCAAGAAGTATATAGTTGGATATTCACAAAGAAATGACTGATTTAAAAACAAAGAGCTC